TACTAAATTTCTTGCAAATCAAATTTTGTTTTACAAGAATTCATAATCTCAGTACCAGTAGAGGAACACTGTAGAAGTCAATGCATGCTCTTGGCTTTCATTTTATTTTGCTTGTTTTTCTGTGTTGTCTTTATATAACACATTAATTGCATTTCATCATAATTTTTAATTGCATATATACTCATAACGTTTTTTATGATAGTGGCCAATCTTTTAATTTGCCCAATTGATACTGTTCTCAAACTACATGAGTATGACTTGTCAATTCACCATAGCATCCTGTTACTTTATAATGTGAGATTGTGGCTTTTTGATGTATTTGTAATATTACACTTTTCTTCAGTAGAAATGTGTCTATGATTCAGATTCAGTCTGAAGAATAAAGTGACATTTTTCAAGGCTTGAAGCAACAGGAATTCTAAGCTGGTTTATGAGGTCCAAATGAGAAATTTCTGCTAAAATTATAGAAATGTATACAGATAGATACACCCTTCAAGACTGTGATAAACTTGATCAGAAGAGAAGAATTTCCATTATATTTAAGTACAGTGAATGACTATTAATGTACGATGATCATAGAAATAAAAATTGCAATATTGGTGCTTTATGAAGAAGCTGTTGTATTTTTGTTTTGGCTTACATCATTTGTGTAATCTTTCCAAAGCCAAATATAAGCCATTTGCTTGAACATGTGGGCTAATTCTGTTCCCAAGGGCTTCCTCCATTGCTTTTGTGTGCTGTTACTTTTACTATTTGGGAAAAATTGTTGTTTTTTTCATAACTAGAAATGTTGCATCTATGTAATCTGTGAACCTATTAAAACACACCATGGTGTAGCATGTGTTTTTTCTACATATGGACATTTTTTACTACCTAAAGTCTTTGTAGTCTATTAGCTATCCATGTCTGCTTAATTCTAACCATGAATATCTAGTTACAGAAGAAAAATTACATAAAAGGAATGCTTCCAACTACTGACAGTGGCAACATAGAGATCCTATCCAGCCTGAGAATAGGAGGGCTATAATACAATATCTGGCTTTGTCAAGGGGGGAGGGGTTGCAACTCTGTCCCCAGTGTGACAGTCTACTACGGCAAACAAGTATCTATTATGTGACAGTGTGGTCTACATAGCAAATAAGTACAAAATCCATATTTTATTTTAATCTAGGACAGGTACTTTTAAATAATTATTTAACTGCTCGATATCATACTTGAGTATTGAATTTCTAAACAAAACCAGAAGGTTTGGATTATTATTCATGGCAAGTAAGAGAGAAGAGGACAGTAATATATGGGTTCACTAAAGGAAGTACAAGAATTTAAATTATTTCATTGGCCCCTGTTATCTGTCCACCAGCAAAAGCTGCCTAGTAAGTAGTTCACAGTATGTGAACAGCCAACGAATATATAAAAGAGCTAAAATCCATTCGAAAAAGTCCTGTAAACTACTGACCTTTAAAAAGAGAATGTAAAAGTTGTGCACTACACAAGTTCACTGGAAAGAATAAAATAAAACATTTCGGGGGGTTTTCTCTGAACTTCTCTATCAAGCAGTCTTTAGCTGAAAGTTTTAATGTGAAGAAACAGCATTGTCCATTATCTAACTTGGTAAATACTGCTTTCCCATCTCTTTTGTCTTGTTCCCATTTATTCCAGAATAGGTGATATCAAATGTAAAGTGATAACTGAAGGCATACCTGATAAGATTCTACTGGGTAGAAAATTCAGCCTACCAGGGAGGGTATTTCTATTCCGTAGCTACAAGCTGACAAAATTTTAAATAACAGTCCAAGTACTTTTGGGAAAATATTTCATATTAGTCACACTAATTTACTAAGTATAGTACTTCAGGATTTTCCAAAGTACTATCGTACAGGTATCCCGCCTAATATCTCTGACTGGGTTATTCATCACAACAGGAAAAGCAGACAGGATGATGATTAAAGCATGCTTGAATGTATTCATATGAGTTGAAATACTAGTGCCTGTGCACCAGCATTGTAAAGAGGACAGATTCTCCTCCAGAATGTTGGAGGCCCTTCCCAGACAGTGATCTGGGGAGGGGGATAGATGTGACTTTTCAACTCCTCCTCCTGCTTCCAATTTTGCCAATCATCTATTTAACACCATTGCCAAAACCACTGCTTAGAATGTTATGCAAGCATATTCTGTAAGCAAATAAGATGCATAGCTAGCTGCATGTTTCCATGGATTCTAATCAAATATGTTGAATATCTTGTTCTCACTGGGCTAAACTTGATGTCATGTAAACAGAATTTACAATCCTCTGAAATGCTAGGAGATATGGAGGAATAAAATCCTATCTGTAAAACAAATGTAACTAGATATATCCCATCCCTTCTAGTTTTACTTTAATAAATTCTTGAACCAGTTACTCAAAAAGAACTCTAAACAGTAATTGGAAAATAGTTTAGTGCAAGTTGGTCGTTAAAATATTTTAGCACATACGTAATGGCAAATACGTAAGCAGGCCTTGATTACAAAATGAATTCAAGTGACAATGTTACATGTTTTCATCATCTGATTCATCCTCTTCTTTCAAAGATTCCTGTTAAGAAAGTAAAATCAGATGTTAATTATTCTACCTTGCTATAAAAAACCTGTAAGTCATATGAAATTAAGGACCCAGATAATAAAATGCAAGCTATTTTGGTCTGGACATTTTACATCAAAGAAGTAGGTACAAATTCAAGAGCAGCCTTTCACTTTACATTTTTTATGGCATTTTAACATACCATTTCTAATAGTACACCTTTTATAACAACATTACTCAAATCAGAAATGTACTTTTTTCTCCCATAAGACTGAAATAAGACAAAGTGTCATAATTAATTTGATTAAATAAAAGTATCTCCAGTAGGTACCCCTGACATCATCTTTACCAAGACTGATAAGGTTGCTATGCTAATTTTGTTTGAGCAGCCTTTGGGAAGGTAATTGGATTGGACTGACTAGAAGATTCTGATAGATGTTCCTTTTTGTTTCCTCTTTAGTTGTAAACTTGGGCTGCCTTATTCTCTCTTTCTCTTTCTCTCTCACACACACACACACACACACACACACAGAGACATCCTGTGTCTTATTTCAGGGGGGTATTCTGGATTCTGTTTTATGATTATTGTAAATTACTGAGACTTGGGAATTTGGTGGCATATAACTATAAATAAATAAATATTCCCCTTATAGGCCACATAATTAATTTTGATTTCTGAACTATCTGAAAAAAGGGTTTTTTCAGGGTTACCTTAGCATATTTTTCTGCCTCTTCTTTAACATCTTTGGGTACAATTTCATGTTTTCCTTTAGTTACTGTGAATTAAAAAAAGTTTTAATTAATTAATTGTCTATTAATTGGAGAATAAATTTAGTTTAATATTTTTTATTCAAATATTGCATCAGCTGTATACTTGCAAACAAAGATGATCCATTATAAATATAAAATATTTAAATTAAATAAGCTTAGAGCAAGACTTTGCTCCACATTATTTAAGAAAATATTTTTTAAAAAACATCATGTGATACATTACTTTCTCCAACCCAACTGAGTTCAAGTTCAAAGGCTTTATCTTTTACTTCATCATGGACTATGTAGATTCTAGAAGGAAAAAAAAATACAGAATATAATTATTACTTCTGGAAGAATACTATCTATGTAAAACGTTTAGCCTACATTTATGCATAGCATACTCTCAGAGATTTTAAATTGTGTAGGAATTCATATGTTTTTCATATAGGCCAAGAATAAAAAGCTATGGATATGAAATCTTTTGCCCCATTCCAGTCTGATGTCTAAGAGCCTCTGATCTCATCTAAACAGCATGTCTAATTTATTTAAACTGTAGGATCTCCTCCCCATTGTGCAGCAAAATAATCTCATGCAAGGACTTCCATGAATCAGACCAAAATAAATGTAATTATTTTTGTTTTATCTTGAAAGCTAGCATGAAAGACGGTCACTTTTTTAAAAAAACTTACATTTTTGCAACTTCTTTAACAGCATCACGGCAGGTCATTTCTTTCATCTGTGGATGTATTATTAGCATTTTATCAGTTAAAGCAGAAAAAAACAATGGTGGAGTTCTAGAGCGTCAATTAGAAATAGCCTCAAAGACAAAAAATATGCATATATCAATAGTTAACGCATAGTGTTTTTAGTACACGAATCACGTTAAATACTGCTCACGAAGAACGATGCAGTTATATTCCATCTTATACTAATTCAATCAAAACAGGTAATAAGTGTGATGTGGTGCTACCAGAGCTTTTTTCAAGTTCATCCCACAATTCTTAGGTAGTATCAAATTCCTGAAATAAAACTTATGAAAAAATGGAAGTTTTGATATGTCTACATGTAAGGTTTCATTCAACTGTATCTTGCTGGAGATTGGATGGCACTGGATAATCAAATTGGGAAACCGCAGAGAAGACCTGGGGACAAATGTGGGGAGGATATAGCTCATCTGTCCTATTATAGGTAGTCCTTGGGTTATGATGGCAATTGGGACTGGGATTGCCATTGCTAAATGATGCAGTCGTAAAGCGCAATTTCATATGACCGCACTCCTTACTGACGACAATCCTGGCAGTTCCTGTTGTTGTTGTAACCTCAAGATATGTGGGTTGCTAAGCAGGAAGCAGTGGCAGTCCCAGGTAAGGAGCACAGGGGTGCCGCAGAGGGGTGGGGGAGGCCCTGGGAGGGCAGCACAGACTGTGCATGAGTTGGGGAAGGGCATGCACAAGCACAGGAAGGCCAGGGGGTGGATGGAGCAGTGTGGAAAGCCAGAGGTTGACACCTTGGCAGGGCGTGAGTGGAGGAAGGCCAGGGGTGGACGATCCAGTGTGAGTGCAAGAAGACTGGGGGGCAGGTGACGCAGTTCAAACACAGGAAGGCTAGGGGAACTTACCAGAGTGACTTGTGACCTTCCCTGCCAGCTTCCCCATTGATTTTCCTTGTGGGAAGCTGGCAGGGAAGATCACAAATGGTGATCACATAACTGTGGGACGCTGCAACCATCGTAAGTGCGAGCCAGTTGCCAAGTGCCTGAATCACTATCAGATAACCATGGGGGCGCTATGGCAGCCAGAACTTTGAGGACCAGTTGTAAGTATCACTTGTTCAGCACCGTCAACTACCTGTATCTAAACTGCTGTGGCTAACACATTGCACTAAGCCATAGTATGATTTATTATTTTAGTTTTACCAACATTTTAGCATGATGTGCAACTACACAAATTCTGGTTTTTCTTCATATGGACAAGAACAATTTGATTTATTCAATAAACCCTGGTTAAAACATGATAGCTTAGCACAATACGTGAACCCAGAAAACTGATAAGATTTTTCCTTTAATTCAGTTTGAGTTATCTGTATTGTCCATTCCAAGACAATATTAAATGACTGGCCGTGAATGTACTTATTTCCACATAAATATTACCCGCTGTTCCTACAGCTCTAATGTTATCTTTAAATTACTAATGCAAAATTGTGTAAGAATCACTAAATCAAATCAATTATAATTTGGTTGATTATCATTCTTCAACTGCAGATTTAAGTGGATACAATTTTACCCCTGTGCCTTGATATTCACTCTGTACCTATATTAAATTACAGAACATTCTAAACTGCCTGGGAAATCATAGGTTTACAAATTTTATCTAGTGCACAATTCTAATGTTTTAATTAAATTTGACGTTTACAAATATAGTTTCAATATAATAAGTTATTTCCAATAAAGTTTGCAGAACCAATTCATGAAATAAATGACGTGTGTGAACTTTTAAGTTTCCAGATTAAAAACAAATCGCCATCCAGGCAATCCAAGGTCTGCATCAATAAAAGCTATAACTTGCATTAATTAGGTGCGCAATCTCTTCTTTCATTGATTTTAGCCCAAGGCAGACTCAGACTGAACAGGAAATAATTAATTCCAGCTACAAGAATGTACACATGTGCATCTAACAACCCTACAATTTGATCCTGGTTTCTTTGAATGAGTATAAATAAGGAATTGCAATTTCAGTTTGGAAATGGAAGCTTTCACTTTTTCATTATCTGTAAATGGAAAGTAGTTGGAAAAGAATTCAAGCTATAAGAAGGAAAACCATGTCTTCTTACAGAGTCTGAGTAACACAGGAAGAAATAATCAGGGCACTAAAGTTCCATGTTCTGACTATTACCAAAGTCATCCCATTGTCCATATTATATTTACTTGTTTTAGTTTAATTTTGCAATGATTAAGAACAACTTTTTTTTAATGAGACCTGAAGTTGGGTTTCACTCCAGGACGTTTTTCCTGCAGAAAGTGTGTGCAAGTGCCGATTCATTCAATGGTTTTTACACAAACATGCTACAAGATGAGGATAGCAGTACTGAGATGGAATCTAGCTAGAATTGATAGAGTAACTTCATTACTGCGCTCAGTGTTCTAATTGCTTTTCCTTGTCAAAAGGACTGAAGAGCTCTGGAAAATCAGAAGCATCTTCGTTCAGATCTCCAGTCAGTATCAGACATTTGTGCTGAAGAGCAAAAACTGTTTTTAGTATGTAATGTGCTACAATATAGTCTTACCTGGAGCTTTTCAATCTCTGTCTTTGCAGCCTGTCTTGCTTTACCAATGGCACATCCCCAATAACCCTGCAAAAAGCAAAAAATAAAAAAGGTAATCTTTAAGAAAAGTAATCCCTGTAACAAACACATTTACAGAGTATTGTTGTCAGATGGAGACACAATTACATATTCATGTAAAATAACGTTACTGCAGCAGTTGTGACTTCTCAAGGCAGACAATTTCTTTTATATCAGCTCCAAACTGAGAATGTCATCTCTGATAAAAATCTGTATCAGTTTGCTGATCTTTAGTCTAGAAGCATGCATAGCTGCCTTTAACAACGTAACAATTAAGATGATGGTAGTAATACAATTGTGGCACCAGCACATATTTTCAACCACCACTAGTGAAGACAAAACATTTGAAGCAAGAGATGGAAGGAGAAATTGAATCTCTGGATTTCTTGCTTCTTTTTCCAGTTATAAATAACTTCTAGCATATCAGGCACAAAATATATATAATGTCACTTCTACCCATTTATTATAAAGTAGAAGCAGTAAGTAGGAATTGTGGGTAGGTCACTTACCTGATATTCAGAATTAGGGTTACCTACTGGCCAATGGGTTTAAACCTTTATCTGAATAGATAACACTGCACTTTTGCTGTATAGTAGAGCACCTATCTTAGCAAACCTTAATTTTACCATGAACATGATTGGAATAAAAGCTATAGGCATTTCAGTTATCAGCTTATGATTTTAGATACTCTACAGTCATTACATGCTTCTGAATGTTCTTCAAAAACAAAATTTTGTTTACAGTTAAATAGATTTACCTACTCACACTACCCTTCATGAATGAGGATGCTTTTCTGGGGCCTTCTAATAGCTTCTACTTTCACTAAGTTCATGGGTAATATTCTTAGTTTTCACTTAAGCAGATGTAGTTCAAAATACTTACATATGAAACTCCTGATGGATCTATCATATAAAGCTGAGCACCATCATCATCATCATAGGAACCCAACATGAAGCTGGAAAATCAAGGTTTCTTATTAGAAACTATCAGAGAGAAATGTGACACGATCCTCAGTAAGTTATAAAAAGTAAAGTCTACATCATTCACAGTTGTTTCACTATGAGCTATAGCCTGTGATTAGTATATCTTAAACAGAACAGTATCTCTTTCACATAGAATAAAAGCTGTCATTTCCTAAGAGTAAGTACCAAGGCATTCAGAGTGACAAGCCAATCACTTATATTATCCTGCCAAATACAAAGAGAATTTAGTCACACTTCTGAACTGGAACAGAAATTGAATAGTGGCAGAATAATACAGAAGACCATAGGCACAATTTGGTACATTACTACTTAAGACAATAGTCTATTCACTCACAGTTAGCAGAGTGGTTTTCTTGCTTTAAATATGCACTCTGAAATTAGAAGGAAACCCGAAGATAAATATTTTAAAAGATAATGCAAAACACTATCTTTAATATATATACACAAAGACTTGCCCTCTCAAACTTTTTAAACAGGACATGAATATAAGCTATTTAAGGTTGAGCTGGGAGGCTGTTTGGTTTGGCGTTTAGGGGGAAAGGTAGTTTTGTTTTTATCTCTGTTTTTTTTATTGATTGTTGTCAGCCACCTGGGATCATTGTATGAGATACGTGGCCATATAAGTTCGTTCGTTCTATCTATCTATCTTCTATCTATCTATCTATCTATCTATCTATCTATCTATCTATCTATCTATCTATCTATCTATCTATCTATCTA